TTCTTAGAGAGAAGTCTCTGGAGTTTAGCACACTGTGGGACACTATCAATATCCTCACAGAACTTCCTCCATGAGTCTCTCTTCGCTTTTCTAATTTCTTTATTATACTCAGTGAGGGTTGCTCTATAAGTCTCCCACTCTCCTGTCCGCTTTGCTCTATTAAATAGTTTTCTTGTCTGTCCCCTCAACTGCGTGAGTTCCTTGCTCCACCAGGGTACGGTGTGCTTATCGGACCTCACTTTGATAGGACAGCTGTATTCATATGATCTTGTGACGGCGTTTTGGAGTTCCTCCACGGCCCTCTCAAGATCATATGTGTTCCTTAGTTTTGTACAGATTTCCCTAGTCCTGGCCTGTAACTCCGTTCTATAGGAGTCCCAGTCAGTTCTTTTTGGGTCTCTGTAGGTTCTTACTTGCGGATTATAATCCGTTATAATTTCAAAGTGGATATGTCTATGATCCGACATTGACGGCTCATTCGACACATGCCACCTCGCAATATTATTACATATCGGTCCCGATCCCACTGTTATATCGATGACTTCACTTCTATTTTTTATAACAAAGGTGGGCTCGTTCCCGACATTCAAAATCTCTAGATTATAACTAAAAAGAAAATCTAGTAAAGACTCACCTCGATCGTTGACATCGCTGCTTCCCCACACCGTATGGTCTCTAATCCTTCCCTTCATATCATCGCAAGTAGTAGGTGGAACACTGTGTACAAGATTTTTTATATAGCCCGAAACAAAGAAGTCCATTACATGAGGTTTGGACACCTAGGTAGCCACTGACATGGACCATTCCTACCTATTCATTTATTACTAAAATTTTCGATTTATATAATTTCTCCCTGAATATGAAAAATGTGCAGGTGCGCCATCTAATTGCATTCACATTTTTCTCCTTATATTTAAAGAGACGTCATCAAGAAGAACCCAAACTAATTCAATAAAGACCTCGATAAAGACACGTGGATACATCTTACAAAAAAATTCGATAACACAAATATCTCCAATACCGTTAGATACAGGTATAGGGAACCTTATACACAGTTTGAAAGAGTTTTAAATTTTCTAACTCCCAAAGTAAAAGTATACTGGGTGTCCCATTTAAAATAACCAAGTTACTTCTGTTTAAAATTGAGAGAAGTATTCAGCAGTTTTTTGAACACCCTGTATAAATAATACTAAGTAACGACAAATGTAATAATTTATAACTTCAAGGATCTAAAATAGACCCTCCAAAGCTGCTTCCTTAAAATTATTTTTTTATTGAAAATATTAAATTTCTACGCTAAGCCTGCATTTTCACTAAAATTGAAATATCTCACAAACTGTAAGTCCTAGGTATGCAGAACCTTTAATAAAGTTCACCTATTTTTTTACGGTGCTTTCAAAAATGCAGGAAAATTCAGTGTGTTCCATTTAACAATACATAACTTTGATATGGTACGCTTTTCCTGGACACCCTGTATATTTCCAAATTTTTTTAAATTGTAGCCGTAATCAACTTACACATATCCCACCTAAACAGGTTTCTGTAATATTTGTCGTTTTGTCCCTAGCGACCGAGGCGTTACTGGTGGCCCACCCTGTAGACTTCTATTATTAATAGTTTAAATAATTGTTAAACATGAATCTTATTCTGAGAATTATTCCTCTTAGGTACGTTCCCGAGGGTAACATGACTGCTTGTGGCACGGATTACCTTACCAAGGACAACCTTAGCAGAAGCTATATTTTGGTTTACGGCTTTTTCGTTTATTTTGCTCCACTGTTTATAATTATATACTCCTATTTCTTCATCGTGCAGGTAAGAAAAGGTACTACCTACCTTGTAGGACAGGCATAGCATAATATTTTAATGTTGTGAATTTGGGAAGTTGATCTTTACCTGAATAACATTGTAATATATTTACCTGACTGTTATTACAGAAATAAATCAAACCTTTAGAAGTTTGTTTATCGTTTTATGTATGAAAATAGAATTATGTGGAATTAGAAAATTTACTAGGATTTTCTTGGCAGGCTGTTGCGGCTCATGAGAAATCGATGCGGGAGCAGGCGAAGAAAATGAACGTCGCTTCTTTGAGATCATCGGAAGCTTCACAGACCAGCGCCGAATGCAAGCTGGCTAAAATCGCCCTGATGACGATCTCGCTGTGGTTCATGGCTTGGACACCCTATTTGGTCACGAACTTTTCAGGCATCTTCGGCAGCACTAAGATCTCCCCGTTGGCGACTATCTGGTGTTCGTTGTTCGCTAAGGCTAATGCCGTCTACAACCCGATTGTATATGGAATTAGGTAGATATTATTTTTTAAAGAAGAATATGCGGTGGTTTAGTAATACAACGCAGAAGCGCTTCTGTTTATTACACTTTTGAAAAAATTTAGTTGCTTTTAACACACTTTTATGGCGTTCATGTTGAAAGACTAGCCTAATAGCTTTACATTGACCTCGTGTTGATGGTTGCCTACCCTTAGGCACTAGATAGAGAAATTAATATTATAAAATAAAATGCATACCTACTTCCATACTTACAAGCACATTTTTAAACGTTTTTTCTTTTGAAGAAGCAATTTTAAAAGTAAGATCAATTTTATCTAATTTTAACCATAAATAAATGTGAACAAACAAACAAGGAAACGGCCTTTGATTTTCTTATCTTAAAGAATAAATTCATAGTTAATAGATCAGTAGCGTAACTTAAGATTTTGGGCATACTTGAGAAAAAAATATTGGCCTTCCTTCCGTTGTTGAAATAAAAGACTACAAAAATGAAAATTAAAAATAAATTTGTGCAACTCTAATAAACGGTCAATTAAATAATGAAATATAAACTAAAATTGAGTCCCTCATCGCAGCACGATAATAAAATAAAACATCAACAGCAATACCATAAAAAAATAGCGGATATTTACAATTAATAACCAGATTAAAAAAAACGAAAGGCCCTGTCTATTGAGAATTTAAAAAATAAAACAATACTTATTCTGACTTTGGCCCCCGTGGTAAAGAGACACGCCGCTGATATATAGTATAATTTGCAAACTGTCAATGGAAACAATTTGTTTTATTAATTGAATCGATACAAGACTAAGTATTTTTTTACAGTGTCAATTTAACCCACTCAAATAAATAGCCGATAAAATAAAAGAACAAAAGCATAGTATTTATACTCGGTATGTTGATTGTGCTGTCATTTATACTTTCAAACTTTTGATGGTTTATAAATATCTACATATTCATTAAATATGTAGATAATAAATGTTCACTTTATGGCATTGAAATGTATTAATAGATTTAGTTTAAAAATAGTTTTCATAAGTAAAAAAAGGAAATGTTTTAATTAAAACGAACTCTAGGTAAACCAAGGTATCATATATTCAAAATATTGCAGTAGGCGAGTTCTCTTCTCCCGAATTTTTGGATTATGATCTGATATTAGAATAATTTTCAGATTCTTATTTCAGATTGGAATTTTTAGGCGTAAAAGTTTGAATAATCCTGGATCGAATATTTGTTCTATAAAGTCGTTCAAGTCACTTATTTTGCCCCATTTTAATTATTATTTTAGCGTCAAAGCTTGCAGGCCTTCTTAATGAGTGAATAATTAATTTATTCTATTTTTAGCCATCCTAAATACAGACAAGCGCTGGAAAAGAAATTCCCATCGCTGATATGCGGATCCGAACCAGACGACACTGCATCGACAGTCACAGGAGCCACGAACTTGACAGAAGAAAAACCAGCCGCCTAAACGGATGTTTTACGATGAAAATCATGTGTCTGAATCGTACTTGATGCTTTATTTGTATATAATGACAATGTGACAAATATTATAAGATGGCGTTGCGACGTTTTTTGTTAACAATAAACCCTGCAAGCATTCTACATTTTTATTTTGACACCCTATATGTTACTATAAGAATATTTCCAGGACAATTCAACTAAAAATAGGAAATGGTTGTGGAAATGTTAATACATTCGAGAATAAATAAATAAATAAATAAATAAATAAAACGAGCGTTCANGATCTGGCTGGCCAAGAGACTGGATTCTCTGCACCATTATGGTTGACATTGGCATTTGGTCTTCAACCTATCTATCGCCTCATATAATTTTTAAGCCATTCTTGTATTATTCTCCTAAAATGGGCAGGAGTACCATCCATTTGTATCTAGTTATTTGATGGTATATTTAATGGAACATCCTCTAATAATTCAAATAGATGGTTTTCTAGAAAGTTTAGAAATGACTGGGAATTTAGATGGGGTGACAAGAAAAAAGGTCCGAATTATTCCAAGCCACACTTTCACAGAAAATTCGTGTTGAAAAGATCTTGTCCGAATTTCATGACGATTTTCTTGTGACCAAATATTGTGAAAATTCACTACCCCTCGCCTTGTGAACGTAGCCTCATATTTCTAGTAAGAATTCTGGATTATGTTGTGACTTTAAAACAACAACTAACAAAAATTCAGGTGTCTACATCTCCCGGAAGTAAATTTTGCACAGGTTATAAATGGTACGTATTTCTACCATCCTTATGTAGAACTTTTCAAATTTTCGATTTACTCACCCCAATGTTCTTAAAATTTCATTTCTGTGCCGTTCATTGCGCTGTCGTGATTTTCCAAATATAGTTTTAATCCAAGATGAAAGCGACGAGTGTAAAGAATTTTTTTGATGTGCTTACAAATTGCACTTACTTTTAAGCATAAATATTCTTGAAATATTATGGTTCGAAGTATCTGCCACAAGGATATTGTATTGGTATGAATAACTTGAGAACGGTGAACTTTAGGGAAAAAATTCAAGTTACCTTTTTACGTGTTTTGTACATTAGAATATAAATCGGTTACAATAGCTGTAAAAAATACAGTGGCGTAGGTTTGTACACCACTGGTCGATCCTTTAGAGGTCATATTAGGGAATGCAAGGCCTACTGTCATACATTATCTGTACCAAATTTTATTGAAATCGGTTAATAGATTCCGGAGATATAAACAAAAAATGATTTTTTTTAACAACTTCAACACCCTGTATCTCTAAAACGAGGCCGTTCCAGACCTAGTTTATAAGGCAAACACCTGTTATTTTAAAGAGATCTATCTGCCCTCGAAGTTTCCTGCATAAAATTCGGACCACCCTGTATATATTTAAATACTGAATTGCATATAATAAATATTTAGATAATAGCGAAATACCAATTAAATTTGATTTGAAAATTCTCGACTATTTATTAATGCTAACTAAGAAATTATTATCAATAATTGTTCTTAATTTTCTCAATGACAAAGTTAGTAGCATGTGTGAAAATTAGAATAACTGAATGTTTTGCACACTTAGCTATTTGAATGAAAAATCGGACGAATAGTTTCAACTGTCTACTATTACGTATCTATCTACAATTATTAAAAAATTAAAGCAAATCCGTAACAAGGAAATCTCTTTTTTCGACGCCATTGGTTAGTATTGTTCAAATTTTAAATTAAAGTAGTTACCATACTGTACTATAACAACGGTTTTGGTTCATTAAATGAAAACTGTGTTTCACTGTCGATTTTTGAAACATCATCACTGTGTCACTCTATATCTACAGTAGGTATATCCACATTAGAGTGGAAAGGAAAGAAAATATTTTTATTTTTCAGTTTACGAGAAAAAGGTATTCTTAATTAATATTTTTGCTTGTCTTTAAAATGCGGTTGGCATGGGGAACCATCATCTTCCATGTACAGGGTGATCAGAAAATCGGTAAATATAAAAACCGTTCAAGAATAAACTGCCTCTTGCTCATCATTCAAATAGAATTGGCATTAAGAACTTTATTTAGTAATTTTGCCAAAACATCGTATTAAATAAATGTTTTGCTGCAACGTAAGCATACCTATTAAGAATAACTGTCACTATTACTCAAAAGCCCTATCACTTTTCATTATGACGGTCGTTGCCAAACTTTTTTATTCTCCTTGCCAACCGCATTTTAAAGACAAGCAAAAATTGTAATCAATTTTCTTTTCCACTCTAACCGTGGACATACTGTATATGTAATATTCCATTAATAACAATAAATTATGGTTAGGTCCCTTTTTCTGTGAACTGTATGGTATGTTCGGCTCACTTTTTGGCTGTAGCTCAATTTGGACAATGACCTTTATCGCTTTGGACCGATACAATGTCATCGTAAAAGGCCTCAGCGCTCAACCTCTTACGAAGAAAACGGCATTGCTCAGGATTCTTATTATTTGGACCATGTCTATCGGATGGACGTTGGCACCTCTGTTCGGCTGGAATCGGTAAGATCCAATGCTGATAATAGTTAATTAAATAATGTTGCGCAAGCCAAAATACGTTCATACAAAATTTATCATAGTTTTCCAGTTTTACAATAAATTTTACTACACTACAATGCCAAAAAAATTAATATTTTAAATGTAATTCAAAAACAACATTTTTACTTTCTGAAAAATATATTTGAGTAAAAATTAAGATCATTCTAAATGTACCTACTTTGAAGTAAACATATCAATATTTACAGTTAATATAATTTCCACCTGGCTGCTTGCCAATTATAAGATACGACGGTACTATACAGGGTGGGCCACTAGTAACGCCTCGGTCGCTAGGGACCAAACGGCAATTGTTCATCTTCATCTTCATCTTCATCATCTAGTGGTTGGTCCTTTAAAAGTCCCATAGCACTGCGGCCTAATTAGGCCTATTGTGCGCCCCACTACTAGTCCTATTCAGCAAGTAGATTTGTCCTTTTTACAAAGTCCAAAAGCTTCCTTGCTGACACTTCTCTCAGCTCCTTGGGTTCCAAATAGGGTCTCCCAAGGAGCGCCATTCTGCTACGTGCAAATCCCGGGCACTCGCCCAGGATATGCAGAGAAGTTTCATCCGCCGATTCACATCCTCGGCAGACCGGACTGTCTACAAGCTTTAGTCTATGTAGATGTTTCTTAAAGTGACAGTGTCCCGTTATGAGTCCTGTCACTCTCCTGAGCCGGATTCTATTCAAGCTCAGTAACTCAATCGCTCTTCCATTCGAAGGATACTCCATAAGCTCCTTGGAATGGCTATGTCCTGGCCTTGAAGTCCAGTATTTCCTATGTTCTGTCTCTGTCCATTTGCCCAGAGCCCGCCTGACCACACTGGGAGATGTGCCACAGAAGGGCTCCGGGCCAATGAACA